CTGAACCGCAAATGATATATCTGGTCTGGTGACTGAGAGATAAATCAGTTTACCCACCAGCTGCCTATAGTACGAAATGTCTGGTAGAACATCCCCAGAGTCAAGAGCAAGTTTCTCTCGAATCTCTAGTGGTGTCTTTACAGGTTTGGAACCAAGCAAACCATAGTCTTCTAACAGTTCAAGAGTGTACTTTCTCTGACAGAGGTGGATTCCAGAAGATGAGCGAGCAATCTCAATTCCAAGGAAGAACTTCAAAGGACCAAGATCTTTCACACGAAAATTCTGCTGCATAACAGATTTTATGTCTTCAATCAGAGCAGAATTATTACCAGCCAAAAGGAGATCATCCACATATACCAAAACGATTGTGATGGAGGATCCTGAATGTTGCACGAATAGAGACTGATCAGCAGATGATTGAGTGAAGCCAGCTTGTAAAAGTACCTTAGAAAGTTTGAGGTTCCACTGCCGCGAAGCTTGTTTGAGTCCATAAATGGACTTTCGCAACTTGCACACTTGAGTTTCCGAAATCTGCTCCCCCTGAATTGCACAGTATCCAGGTGGTAATGACATATATATATCTTCAGACAGTTCTCCATTCAAGAAAGCATTGGAGACATCCATGTGAAACAGAATCCATCGTTGAGAAGCAGCTAAAGCCAGAACAGTTCGAACTGTTGTCATCTTTGCTACAGGGCTGAATGTATCAAAAAAATCCAAGCCTTCAATTTGAGTAAAACCTTTGGCTACTAAGCGAGCCTTGTGTCTTTCAACACTGCCATCCGGATTGAACTTCGTTTTGAAGATCCATTTACATCCCACTGGATGTTTATCAGCTGGCAAAGGACAAATATCCCAAGTCTGATTTTGAATCAGTGCCTCCAATTCAACTTTCATGGCATTCTTCCAGATTTCAGATTTCATAGCTTGGTGGTATGTTTTTGGTTCTGGTTCGGTAAGGATGGAAAGAGCAAAGGTGCGGTATGATGGTGATAAATTAGAGTAAGAAATGAAGGAAGACAGAGGGTATGGTGTTTTAGATGTGATTGGCAATGTTTTGTTGTGTGTAAGCAAATAACAATGGTAATCGGTTAAGTATTTGGGTGCAGTAGTAGTTCGTTGCGATTTGCGATTAAGTCTCTGATGTTCAACCGGGTGGGAATAAGAATAAGGGGCAAAGCTGGGTGAAGAAAAAGGAGTAGAAACAGGAGTCTCTGGTGAAATGGGTGTAGAAGCAGACGAAGAAGATGGAGTTGAAGGTGGGGTTGAAACAGGGGATATATGATTAGGTGATGAATTAGGTGAAATAATATGTGAAGGAAAGTTAGTGGAAGGTGGGTCATAGTAGTAAAGAGGAAAGAGGGGAAGAAATCCACAGATTTAGAAATCAGTGGTATGGTTTTGAAGGGAAAAGTGGTTTCATGGAATATGACATTGCGGGAAATGGATATAGTGTTGGTCTCGATGTTCAACACTTTGTATCCTTTGACATTAGGAGGGTATCCCAGAAACACAGATGGAATAGCACGAGGAGAAAACTTATTGCGATTGGTCTTGGTGGTTGACACAAAACAAAGGCATCCAAAGGTTTTAAGATGACTGTACTTAGGAGGTTTATCTGTGAGCTTTTCGTAAGGGGAAATACCACCAAGAACAGGTGTTGGGGTGCGATTAATGAGGTAAATCGCAGTACGTACGCAATCTCCCCAATAAGGTAAAGGAATGTTGGATTGGAAGAGAAGAGCTCGAGCAACATTGAGAATATGTTGGTGTTTCCGTTCCACGACGGAGTTTTGCTCGGGAGTATATGGGCAGGAGAATTGGTGAATTATACCAGTTTGGCTTAAAAGATCGGAGAAGGCAAGCTCAGGAGCATTATCCGAGCGTATGGCCTTGACTTTGCTATGATACTGGGTTTCAACAAGTTTCAGAAAAGCAGGAAAATGAATTTTAACATCAGACTTAGAAGATAAGAGGTACAGCCAAGTGACACGGGTAAAATCATCAACTAAAGTGAAGAAATAAGTATGGCCATCAACAGTAGGAATTGAAAAAGGACCCCAAATGTCAATATGTATCAAATCAAAAGCTGCAGAAGAAACATTTCCTCCTACAGGAAAAGAAGGCCGACGTTGTTTGGCCAATGGACATACTAAGCAATCAGTGTTTGCTGTATTGTTTTGTACAAACTGTAGAGACTTTGACTGAGGAGAAATAGAGACTTTGTAAGTAGATGGGTGTCCTAAACGTTGATGCCATAGATCCACTTCAGAAATAGACAAGACTGGAAAAACAGACGCAGGAATCGAAGATGCAGGAGAAGAAGATTGCTGCACTTCGAGTATATAAAGGTTGTGTTTCTGGTCACCCTTCCCAATCGTCAATGCCCGCAAAGGGTCCTGGATTATGTAAGAAGAACGAGAAAAAGAAACGGTGTAAGAAGTAGAATGTGTTAGGGCACTAACACTGAGTAAGTTAAAATGGAAGGAGGGGACAAACAATACAGAGTATAGAACCAGATGTGGTGATAGATACACAGTTCCACATTTGGTGACAGAGATTTTCAAACCAGTAGGTAAGGTTATGGACATGGGTGGAATGGTTCGAACATCAGAGAGTAATCGCATATCGCAGCAAACATGGCTACTTGCCCCAGTGTCAAGTATCCAAGAGTGTGGTGGGAGAGTATATGTGTGGTTCAAGGTCGATAGTAAGAATGGAAAAATAGGAAAGAAGGGAGATTTACCTGGAGATGGGTTGGTGGGGGTAATGAAATCTGAAACCATGGAAGAATTGCCAAGATCATTGAGTTTGTGCTGGAACTGTTCAAACAGGGCATGGGCTTGTGCCATTGTCGAAGTAGCTGCAACAGAGGGAGAAACAGGAGTAGTAAGAGTACCTGAAGTTGTCGTTACCACATTGATCGGGTTTGGGTGTTTGGTGGCTGGAGAAAAACGAGGTGTAGGGAGTAATGGAGGTTTAGAAGTGCTTTTGGAAAGGTTAAAATTGGGTGGGTAACCATGGATTTTGTAACAACGAGCAATGGTGTGTCCAACAAGGCCACAATGGGCACAGACAGGCCTAGGTCGCTGGTTATGGGGAGATGGAAATGGTGGTCTAGATTTGTGAAATGGTGTGACGGTGGCTTGGAAAACGGGAGAATCAGTAAGAGGTGGTAACGATAGTCGCTGATGCTCCTCTTGCGCAATCAGATTGTAGACTTTGGACAACGTTGGAAGAGGATCCAACATTAAAATCTGTCTCCGAGCTGGGTAATAAGACTCGTTAAGTTTCATGAGAAACTTAACGACGTTGCGCCTTTCCATCAGTTCCATGAATTTTTTTATTAGCTTGACATGTACAACCACCGCAAGAGCATGTCGGAAATGGTTCATAATTTTTCAGCTCCTCCCATAAGCTGTTGAGCTTGGTGAAGAAAGTGTTCAAATCCATAGCACCTTGTTGCAACGAATCTATCTTCTGTTCAACGCTGAAGATTTTGGAGACGTTCTTCTGTTTGAATCTCGTTTCCAGAGTCGTCCAAATGACATGAGCATCGTCGATGTACAGCAGCAGGCTTGCGATCTCCGACGAAACAGAGTTCGTCAACCAGGTACAGACCAAGGCATTGCATCTGGACCAAGCACCAAAGTCGGGATGGGTCTCAGATGGCTGGGCAAGCGTGCCATTGATGAATCCGAGTTTGTTCTTCGCTAGCATGGCTTTTGTGATTGAACGCGACCACAGGTTGTAGTTCTGTTCGCCAAGCAATTTTTCAGACACCAAGACAATACTTGATGAATCCGCAGCGTGGAGAAAAAGAGGGTTGGAGTATGGATCAGGGTTTTGAAGAGATTGTGTCTGGGTATTATCGCCAGACATGGAAGAGGTCGGAGTAGAAGGATTGTCGGCCATGGTTACCGAGAAAAAGTAGGGCAGTCTAGGTTAAAAGAAGGAAAGGAGAAGAAATCGGGAAAGGGGATAACAGGAAGATCAGAATCGTACCCAGGTTTGATGCTCTGATACCATTTTGATCTTTATGCAGAAGGTCTCTTTACTGGATTTTGAATAGCAGCGAAGAAGAACGAAGAACAGAGGATGCGGAGCTGAGAGAAAAAATAAACGAGAGAGAGAGAGTTTTTGGAAAGTTTTCTCCTTGTATTTCCTTTCTGTCTTACACTGGTTATATACAAAGAATGGGTTTTGCTAAAGCTACATCTACAACTCTAGCTTATGATTACTCTAAGGAACGGTAGTACAATCTGCAAATAACCAACGAACATATACATCTAAAAGGATGTCGGGACCTTTCTTCAGATGAGCCGAAAAAGTATTCAGAAATTGTCGGCTAAAAACCTCTTTTAATATCTTTTGGTAGTGAAATTTATTTCCACGTCAGCATCACCTTCCGGTAAAAGGAAAAGTTGGAGGGCGTTGGAAAAGAAAAGGAGAACAGAAAATTTGTTACTTTTGCAGAATTTAAATTTAAATTTATGTAATTATTTTGAAATTTTATACACTTTGACATTACTCCATCGACCTCAATTTTATATAGTAGCATAGAAAAATGTTAATACAAAAAAAAGCATATACATACAACAAATATCGGAATTATAAATTATGAAATTAGCATTATGGTAAAAATAATAAAAGCCGAATGTCACAAGTTCTTATGTAACCTGTCCCCTCACCGCAACGCCACCATCATTAATCATCATTAACCCCATTTTCTCCGGTCACCGGTTACCGGATTCACCGGTAACCCCACCCACTAAAACCACACTCCCTTCCTTCTTCCTCACAGATCATCTCAACGACCATGCATGGTCTCACTGTCACCGGAGCCGTTCTTCTCGCTGTATTCTCCGTCTTCCTCCTTGCCCTTCTCGCCGAGCTCTCATACTTCTTATGCCTCTACCGCCGGAGCCGTGCCAGAGCCAGAGTCGGAGACGCTCCCCACGCGCCGCCGGGGAAGGAGCTCTTGTTGTTCTTCTTGTGCCGCAAGAATCAGTCTCGGATCGAACCGGCGGCAAACGCGCCTCCGATGGAGCTTCGATCGCCGGAGGAGACGGCGGAGGAGGCGGAAGAGGACGTGGCTGCGAAATGGCAGATGGATATGTTGTACGGACCGTCTAGGTTTCTGTTCACGATCGAGGAGGAAGAGGGAGAAGATGGGTGCTCAGCGGAGGATATCGGCAGTGACGGTGACGCTAGCCGGCGACTAAATCCGGCGGAGATCGGAGGTTCGCCGCCGTTCTCGACGCCGTGCGCTTCGCCCCCGTATTATACCCCGTGGCCTTCTCCCGGCCGGGAAGACATCTCCGTCGATGTCGGGGATTGATGACGTAATGGGCGGGGTTGTGACGTAAGCTTTTGTGGTTCAAAACATTCGTCCGTCTTCAAGACATTATTTGATTTCTCGAGTGGTTACTATTTTTTTTTTTAACCCACTGAAACTTGTTAGGGGTAATTAATTATTATCCAAATTCAATTTTCGAATATCCCGTTGAAGTAAATCTAATTTCAATAGCGTTTAATCTTTAATTAGGCAGGTCCGAAAGGGTCTAAACGATGTTAAATGGGCCACGGTTTGTGAGTTGATTTCCCTGTCGGCCCATTTTTATACGATCTAAGTTTTTTTTTTTAATTCGCTTAAAAATGGATTCGCCAACCAATTTGTCACGGGCCACGGGTTCGACCCGTCACATGATGGTGTGTGAATGGTAATTATACCAAATAATTTGGGCATGAAATTGAAACTCGATATCTATCATTCCATTACTTGTATATATATATATATATATATGATGCATATAATATACACACATGTAAATGTCTGTATATGTGTATATCTACGTATACGTCGTCATATATGCGTGACTGTGCATGCAAATGTGTATATGTGTGGGACATGATGATGACAAATCATTGACTTGGATTTGCCAAACAATTTCGCATATGGAAAAATCTGATAAGTTTGAGATAACTTCCAATCTTATGTCGGATTTTTTCTTTCCATTTATTTATTTTTTTTAGAGTTGGCCACGAAGTGACGCACTTACATGACTAAGTTTTTAATTATATCATACATTTTGAATTAGAATAAATTGAGTTATTTTATCGAAGACGTAACACCAGCAGCAGAGCTCAGATCTTAAGGTCAAAGGACTCAAATCTTTATTTAATAAAAAAGATAAATAAATACTTAAAAGATTCTTTTTTTTTAATTTGATAAAGAGAGTAAACGGTCGAATCGTGAAAATGAAAGATTCAAATCCAAAATATATTTTTTATTTATTTATTCACATAAACCATAAAACGTAAACAACACAAATCTCCCGAACCATGGAAAGAAAATCAAACCCACAAATCTAAAGCCGAAGACAAATAAACCGAGGAAATAAAATTAATCCGAAAATTCAAAATATAATCAGGACTCAGAAGTCAACATGGCATTTGGTATCCTGAAACTGAAACCCGCTAGTCGAATTAGAGGAACTCAGAGGGACCTTGAGATCGCACCTAATCTTCGGCTTGAACCTCCATGACTTCAACAACCCAAATTTGAACCTTACCCTAAGTCTCAGCTTCACATCGATCCTGTAAATCCCAGACTTCTGATCCTCCTCCAGATCTTTCCGATCTCTGTCGCCTAGCACCACCAGGTTCTGACCGGCAAGGACCGCTCCGACCATCGTCGTGTTCTTGCGTCCCTGGTAAAAGGAAGGCACGTTCACCGCTCCGAATCGCTGGTCGCCGTAGTAGCCTCGGGCTTCGAACTGGTCGTAGTAGATCCCGACCCGTCGATTAGGGTTCCGGATCGTGAAATTCAAGGCCAGGTTGTAGTGGAGGTTGTTGTTGTTGCCCGGATCCATATTGAACCGGGTGAGATTCGCGTCGGTGACTCGGAATTTGATGACGTTGGGGCGGAAGATGAGCCAGATGATAAGCGCGGCGATGCCGAGGATCACAGCTAGGGTTATGAGGATGTTGAAGATGACGCTGAGGATGCAGCAGCCGCAGCAGCCGAAGGC